TTTTCAGGAAGCTCAAAATAGAAATTCTTAGTCAAGCCAACTAAGATAAGCAGAACAAGTGGGGTTCCCTTAAGCTCTTAGAAGTACACGTCATATTTGAGCTGGCTTTGTACACTACACCCTTTGGTAGACAAAATGAAACGACACGTTATCCAACGCCTGTTTCGTTGTCGATTAAACTCCATTCATCTTTAAACATTAATATTTACTTTTTTTTATTTCTATCTCTCTTTCTCTCACTCTCTTGTCATCACATGCCACTAGGAAGATGGTTGGACAATTTCCTGGCCCGAAGGCGTTCTCGAAGCTAATCCTAAGCTTAGTCTTTTTTATATATACATATAAATTGATGCTTTGTAACTGCTAAAGCGATTTTCGGCCGACCTGCTCCTCTAAGCCGTTAAAGTTTTATTGGGAGCATTTATATAACATCTCAGATTTATATAACATCTCAGAAATACACTCGGAGTACTTGACCTTCCCTGTCGAGGTTTGACCGCAAACAGAAAATTTTATTTTTACAATTTTGTATGTTGGTCGAACCAGAACGAACCAGAACTGACTGTCAAGTCCGTTTATTTTAATTTTTATACCTTTTCAAAGGCAAGACCGACTAGGACCCTGTTTAAGATTTCTAGATCCCTTGGGATTATGTTGAGAATTGTGGAAAAGGTTTCTGTTCGATGTAGGCTGCTGGATTGGCAACATTTGCTGACTTTATTATGAATTCCAGTGTATCCATGCTAGTTTTGAAATGTTTATAATATTTACGTGGTTAGAGCTTCGAAATTCCGTTTTAAATTTTGAATTTATTGAAGAGCGGCATTTTTGAAATTTCCAATAGGACATTTTTAAGTTGTTTTAATTACTTTGGTATTATTATTTGTTCAAAGGAAAATCTTGTGGTTTCGATAGGGGATGCACCAGACTAATTGTGTTTTTATTTATTTATTTATTTTTTTTTTTAATAAGATTTTTTTTCAGTATATAACTGTACCTTTTTTGCAGTTTTTTTTTTGTTGTTTTACTTATTTTGCAAAAATGTTTTGTTTTTGTCTATGAAGATTCCACGTACGACCAACGTTTTTTATTCTGTTGCCCAACAGAAAAATCTTTTCAGCATACGATTTTTCTTAGGACAAGAACATTTAAGTCTTTAATTGGGTGGTAGTTATTATCTTCTATACATTGAATTCGTGAACAAACACAAGTATTCGTTTTAATAATATTAAATAATATTTCAAGCCCAAATGGTCCTCTTCAGGCTTCAGGCACTTAAAATGTTATCCTTGCGGTATTTATGCTTTTGGCAACACCAGACACAGAGTTAGTATTTTCGCTCAGTTTTTTCATTGCGTTTTTGATAAGCTCATTTTCTTTTTTTTTTAATTTTAATTTTTTTAATTGTTCACCAGTTATACATAGGTAGGAAGCGTAATTGTTAACGCTGTCACGGTTTTTTTAATTTTGTTTTTGCGTGCCAGGAAAAACCCATAATTTATTATATTTCTTTCACTCCTTACTTCTGAACTATTATATTATTTTTGCGAAAAAAGTAATGTAGGAAAAAAAATGTAATCAGCTTTCAGCTTACTTGGGTTGCAGTATGTTATCAGCTATCAACAGTCAGGAAAGGAAATAAGACTTATTAAAATTATACTTATGCAGAACATATGCAAAAGTCTTCTTATAGTAAAAAAGAATACGTGCTACACGAATATTGAAACAACGGAGCCAGCCGCCGAGCTGGGCTTGTGCACGAGTCCCGTAGGATCTTTAATTTTAAGATATTATTTATATATAGAAACTTGTTCACTAGACGAACTTTTCACAACACTGCAGCTCTTTGTCGAATGTAGCTCTTTTCCAGAAGTTTCTACTTTTATGCACAGTTACGCCACTCAATTATTTGCATATATTTGTTTCCACAATAAACAAGTGAAACAAGTTTAAATTTATTTGTTATTGAAGTAGAAATAATATTTATTACATCGTTGTTTAAACGCCAGAATACTGAACAAAATGTATGACAAACGAGCGGCAAATACACTTCCTGTTACGAAGAACATCAAACGCATGTAGCGCTATCTATGTTTCGATAAATTACAGTGCAAATCAATATAAAGGTTTGTTTACAAACAGTAGATTACATGAGTATTGCTGTTAGCAATCTTAACAACATTTTATGTAGATTTATATGTCTTGTGGAAAGAGTCGACATTTTTTCAGATAAAACTATGCTGTAATGTATTTGATTTTCTTGAAAAAACTGAAAATGCTCTTTTGTTTGAATTTTAATTATTGACTGCTTAATGCGGTTTTCATTAAATTCCCAACACTTATAGCAGTAAACATTTGAACGGGTTGTGCAAATTGTAAATGTTATTATGGGCCATTAGTAAGTATAGACAATATTTGACAAAAATATTTTCAACTCAGGTTTTCAAGTAATAATCTAATATCCAATTAGCCAAAACCCTAAACTTCAGAGAGCTGGCCTTTGGTAATAGATGGACAATAGCGCGTTTTTGATATCTGCCTAAATTTATAGAATGAAATATATAAGACAGTAATTAGTAAGACAAATGCACCATTTGCCTGGCTTTACTAAAAGTTTTATTAATTTAAAATTAGTTTAAAAATTAGAAACAGCTTGCACAAATAGATGCTTTGACTTAAATACTGATAAAAAACTTTCCAGATTTTTTATTGCAACTACTTACATTACGTATTTTTACTGATTTTCAAATGCTACTTTGGAATTTTTGAAATTAAATAGCTTCTTTTCTCGTTATCTTGCTGTTGTAATTTCGTTCAGAATTTTTTAGAAAGAATATTAAGAAATACTTTGTTAGCGCCATCTGTGGTTGAAACTTACAATATTTTAAGATATAGACAACTCTGCAAAACATATTGGATTGTTTCCCAGCTGTCAAATACATTTGTTTATAAATATTGAATGTATAAAAATTTAAATTTTGCTTTTAACTATTAATGATATAATAAATCTATGAAATACTGATTTTTTTTGGTCATTAGTTTATGGCTCTTACCGGCTGTTACAAAAATGATAATCCAGAGCTTAATATTTCCGATTGCAGCAGTGAGGAAGAAGGAATTACCATTTCCCGCCAGAATTTGCCACAGACTACAACAACCGAGGAATTAAATATAACATGGAGCAGTGATGATGATGTTGGAACTGAAAATTGCTTTCTCAATCAAAGTCTGATCCAAGGCAGCGCAGTAACGCCAGTTAGCAGAAGTTATTCAAGCTCGGCGAGAAAAGCGAAATTGCCTAAATTGAGTATTAAACGCAAATTAAATCGATCCGTCGACACCCAATCCGATAGAAGAACTGCACTTAGTAACATAAATAAACCTCTAAACGAGGAAACTAATAACAATCGTTCACCATGGTGCAAAATTCGTAAAACTTTTTCCATACTTCGTTGCCAGAGTAGTTCGCCCAACATTGGTATAAATATTGAAACAAAGCAGAAAACTCCAACAAAAAATCTGTTATCACCACAACCAAACTCTGAGGAAACATCTATAGAATGGTCTTCATCATCATCTGAAACTAGTTCACCAATACGTGCAACAAATAATGGCATATCAACAACACAAACGAGTACTGCACCAACAGAGTTGGAATTATTGGTAGCGCTAATTGAACGTGAAAATGCTGCCAGCAGCGTGATAAGCCGATCAACGCCGCTGAAACAAAAAAAGAAACGATACCTACAAGGTGGATATGCGGAATGTTTACAAAAATTGGAAGAAGCCAAACGTATAGAACGCCATTTTTTAAAACACGATCAACATTTGGGACTACAACAAGGTATGCCGTTGCGTGTGCAAAAAATAAATCAAGCTTTTGGCGTGCATATAGCAACAGTGCAGTTAGAGCACGATGCTAATAATATGCAAAGTGGTAATAATGTTGTTAATGATAACATTACGACACTAAAAACGAACATACGAATTGTAATAGATGCCGACATGGCAGCGCAATTGAAGGAGGGCAGCAGAATAGAAGCATTCTTTGATGCAGATGTTGAACCCTATAGCTTGCAAGAGGAAAATGATACTGACAAGGATGTAATTTATGTGCAACCACATAAATTGTTGTTATTATAGTGCATAATATAATTTATAATTTTTAGTTAAATAAAGTTTATAAAAAACTTTTTAAGTACATAATAGTAAATATTTCCTGTTAAATCAAGAAACTTTTGTTTTTAAGTCAGTTCTATTAACGAAATTAAAACAAAATGTAAATCGATTTTTAATTTAGATAAGAGAAATAAATGTAAATACAAATGTACGTACATAAGCGTAAATATGTACATACATAGGTATTATTAAAAAAAATTGTTTATTTTTTTTTAACTAAATTAGGTTTAGCCCGCAAAGACGGTACTGTTCGTATTGAATACTGTATATATGAATGTAAGTATGTACATGCAAGTAGGCTGCTCGCAATATTTCCTTATTTATTTTTTTTTACCTTATCACAGCCATTCGATAAGTGCCTAATATTCAGACGGTAGCTGATAAAACATATAAATTGCCACACTTAAAATCAAAATGCCCAATGATTATACTTTTATGTATATATTTTTTAAATGTTGAATTTAGTGAGATGAGGTTTTTTAGCGATTGCGGTCGTGCCCAAACGGAAAATATAATATAAATTTGTATTTTAAAATAAAAATAAGTTTTAGTGGGAAATTCACATTTTATTCCCAGTGTGCGATGATTTTAAAACTTATACTATTATATTGCAATGCATTGAAAAAAAAAAAAAATAAGTTCATTGAAATTTTGAGTATTTGGCCGTTTATGGCTATTATCAGTACAAAATTATTACCTCATCGTCACGCAACATAGTTTATGACAATGTGATAAGCGGGACACACATACATACATATATATTGTATAAAAAATAAAATATTGCTTATGCCTCTGCCCGTACAGCTGACGGTCTTACAAGCTATAAATAGATAATGTAACGAAAGTGAAAACAATTCTTAGAGAGCGCGAAAAACAGGATAATGCTCTCGCTTAGAGAGTGCTGCAGGAAAAACTTGCCAACAAAGGATATTTACTGCGCATGCGCTGCCCTGAGTGTAGGTTGGAAGCCCAACCATACACTTCCAGTTGTCATATGAATGAATGATTTCTACAAACCACCACCGTGTGTGCTGTGGAATTTTACTGACTTACTGCCCACTTAGAAAGGCAGCTCAAAATTATTACGGGTTTCAATTACATGCATATCTACGTACATAGTAGTTCTGATAAAAAGTGTAGGTTTCGGTGGAGCACAAAAATTGCTCAGTGATACGGGAGTAAAGTGTAGCATGGAACTCCATACAGTCCGTTAGTCTGCTCCCAAACAATTGGGGGAAATACCAAAACGCATAACCAATATAATGTATATGTGCATAGGGATTGTGTGTGTGCTTAACTTCCAATGAGAAAAGTGGGAGAAGAAATTTGAAAAGAAATTTTCAACGCAACCACACGAAATCGATAAGCTCGGAGGAATATCAGATATTTTCAGACTGTGTGACCATAATTTTCGCTGAAAATTTTTCTTATGCTTGTAAAAAAAATTTATATAGAAAATAGAAAATAAAATAAAAATTTGAAATTTTGAAAAAGTGGCGCAGAAAAGTGTGCAAATATCGAGTGTAAAGAAAATATTTATTAAAGCATTTGTTTAAATGAAGAAACGACAGCCCAACGAAGTGGATATGTCTAAGAAAAGTGTTAGAATAATAAAATATATCGAATAAGTGCACTTTTGCAACTATTGCTATGCTGTGTGCCTATAAATATACATAAATTTATGCTTGTGCTAAGAGAAATAAATATGTACATATTTACTGCAGTGCCATTGATCTGTCTATAATATAATAATAAATAAATAAAATTTTGAAGAAATTCGCTTGGAAAAAATGGAAATCCAAATTGAAAGAAAATTAAAAATTAAAAATAAATGCATGAAAAATTTGCCAACAACGTGCAGTATATAACTAAAAAAAATATATATATATTTTCCCTACTTATTACATAAAGCGTATATTGCTTCTGCTAGTGCTATGCTACTTTGTCAATATATGCATACATACATACATGTATCACTTTTGTAATACTTCTTAAAAAAAAAAACGCTTCAACCAACCGTGAGACTGCAGAGCGTAACCGTCAGAAACATGTGCTTATATAATAAGTCGAAAATTGCCTGTGGCGCAGCATATCCTTTCTCATAATTCCTGTTTCACTCTCCCATACTCCCACCTGATTTTCCCTAACCGAAATATATTTGAAAAAGTTGATAAAGGGAAACAACAAAAACATAAGTAATCAAAGTGTATGAATTGTTTTTGTGTTTCATTCTACTACTTCACATCCGTTTATTTCTTTACTCTCTTTTGTTTCGTTATACGTGTAGTTATCAATGGTCCCTTTTTGAAAATTATTCGAAAGCGTTTGATTATTGAGAAAGAGTAGAGTAAAAAAATACTTGATCATCTGCGTAGCTAACACGCAGATATAAGTAAAAAAAAGAAACCAAACACAAAAAAAAAAAAAAACAATTGGAAGAAGTTTTTTTCTCTAAAGCACATTTGAAGTGGTTGCACTGAGTGTAATTACGAACAAAACCACACTCGAAAATGCAGCCCCCGCCACGTAAGGTAAGTTTCTGTCCCCAAACATTTGTTTGCATACTTATGCGTATGTATATGTGTATGCGCTTTTGTCCAAAATATCAACTAAACTTTTTTAAATTTTCTGTAAAATTCTTTAAAAATTAAAGAAAAAATATTCCAAAAAATATTTTAATTCTATGCTGATAGAATCAAACATTTTCTTCTGTATTATATAAGTTTCTGTGTACAAAAAAAATTGATCGTAATTCCAAAAAAAATTATTGTTTTGTAATTAAATAAAACATTTTTTTTAAATAATACATAATTTTTTAAAACAAAAATATTGTTCAAAATTGCAAAAAAAAATTTAGCTGTATTTTAGTGAAACAAAATATTTTTTTCTATATAAGACCTAAGTTTTTATGAACAAAAAAAAAAATCTCGAATTTCCAAAAAAAAAGAAACATTTAGTGCATTTTAATTCAATAAAATATTTTTTTAATTAATGCTTAATTTTGTATAAGAAAAATATTGTTTAATCCTTAAAAAAAAACTTTAATTGTACTCTAATTAAAAATTTTTTTTTAATAATACCTAAATTTTTATAACAAAAATATTGTTTAAAATTGGAAAAAAATTATTTGTATTTTAGTTAAATAAAATACTTTTTTTTTAAATAATACATAATTTCTTATAACAAAAATATTGTTTAAAATTTGAAAAAAAATTTAATTGTGTTGTAGTTTTTATGAATGAAAATATTGTTTAAAATTGGAAAAATATTACTCCTTAATTTTTATGAAAAAAGAAAATTGTTTAAAATTTCTAAAAAAAAACATTTATTGTATTTTAATTAAATAAAATATTTTTTTAAATAATTCCTAATTTTTTATAACAAAAATATTGTTTAAACTTCAAAAAAAAAAAATTGTATTTTAGTTAAATAAAATATTTTTTTTTCAAATAATACCTAATTTTTTAAAACAAAAATATTGTATAAAACTGGAAAAATTTTTTATTGTTTTGTAGTTAAACAAAATATTTTTTTCTACATAGAACCTAAGTTTTTATGAATAAAAATATTGTTTAAAATTGGAAAAAATTTACACCTTAGTTTTTATGAAGAAAAAATATTGTTTCAAATTTCAAAAAAAAAAAACATTTATTGTATTTTAATTGAATAAAATATTTTTTTAATTAATTCTTAATTTTTATAACAAAAATAGTGCTTAAACTTTCAAAAAAAAAATTATTGTATTGTAATTAAATAAATTATTTTCATATAACCTAATTGTTTTCATGATAAAAAAATATTTAAAATTGCAAAAAAAAAAATTTAATTGTACTATAATTGAAAGAAATTTCTTATATATATTACATACATATATATTCATTAAAATCTTAATATGATTGTTATTTCCATTAGGAAAGATATCTTGATTGGATTTTTATCGTGCTGTGATGACGACATAATTTAATTCATTTGGACGAGCCTAGCGTTAATACTTACATACATGCATACATATGTATATACATACTGTACAATATAAATGTTTTACTATTAATTACTTTAATACGAATTCTGTATTCGTCTGTGTAGTCTTTCTTTCCACACTTTTAACTCTTTCGGTGTTGTCATTAATTGTTCGTTTGTTGTAGATATATACAATATTTATTATATCTTTTTTTTTTGAAATTGTAACCACGGTTTTACAATAGATAAATTCACTCGGAATCACTTTAGTTTAAAGATTATATATTTATATACCGACAAATATTAAGTAACTGCACCTGGATTTGGGAAAATAAAAAATTAAATATCTGTTTTTAATAAGCACTACATACAACAGCCTTTCGAAATTCCAAAAAAAAATTTTTTGAGTTCAGAATTTAAAATTTTGGACTTCTAAAAAAGCATTTTGAAGCTCTGTAGAATAGTCGACAGTTTTTGCTCATATCAAACTCTATCAATCAAAGGTAATTTTTCATTTCTAAATTTGTTATAATTTTTCTCAACTGTTCGGTATCGAAATTATATTTCTAAAATAATAGAAATTGAATCCGAACGGAATTACGTAATTGAGTGCTAACTAATTTGATTTATTCGAAACCGATTATTCAATGAAAAGCGTTTTCTATATTTCCATTTGTCGGAAAATGTGCAGTGGTCGGTTAGTATTGAATCCCATAAAAGTTAATCGCGAAACATGTTGCTTATACGGGGTTTTCACGACATCGCGAATTACATTGTTCGTTCTCTCAATCATCAGCGCGAATTGTTCCATTGCGTACCGTGCAATTTGACAGTTCTCTGTTTCGTTGGTTAATTTAACTTCTTTTATTTGAAATTGAAGAGAAATTGAAATATTTTAGTAAAATATCATTAAATATTGAATTAAATTGGTGATGAATGATGAATGTGTCAACATGACTCTGGCACAAAAAAAAAAATCATTAAATCAATGCATTCAATCAAAATCATACTATTTTCATCTTCAACTTCTTCAAGAATTTCTGATTTTCTAATTCTCAATGTAGAAATATTCTATGGTTTCATATAAATTTTTGTGTTTTAGTGCTTTCTTTCATGATTTTCATCTATTTCGTTTTGCATTGTAAGCTGAATTCAATAAATTCCCCATAACAATTAGAACAGACAACGAATTGGGCGTAATTCGCACGGTAATTGAGAATGAATTACCAAAACTTGGCCTAATTCGCTCTGACAAATTTTTATGGCGAATTAATAAAATTGAGTATCAATGTAATTCGGATTCCGTACCAATGTCATATTAGAGATTGTCTATAAGCCACGTGGCCATATTTTACACCTTCGGGTATACTTCCTTTCTTGCCTATGGTCTTACGTGATCTTCTTAAAGAATTATTCCTACCCTGTCTAATGGAAAGTGGCTCCTCCTCTAATTTGTGGTTTTGATGAGTTTCCAACAAGTGCAGAGACCTGCCGCTTCCGAACGGCTGATGGGTTTTTTAACGAGAAGCATTTATTTCTTGTCAAAAATACACTCGGACGGGTTGGTATTCCCTGCCGAGAGGGGACCGCAATTATAAAATTGAGCTCAATTTTTTATTTAAATTACTTTTGGGTGTTGGTCGCATCGGGATTTGAACCCCGTCGTCTCTGGTGGCCCCTGATATAATCCAAAGTGTAAGAAAAGTTTGACGAAGGAAAAAAAATAAAATTGGATTTCTGGTATTTACATACTCTGCCGAGATAAATTTGTTTTAATTAATGGGATTCCATTACTTTTACATTAAATTGAAGTTTTATTTACATTGTCTTAGAATTATCCTATTTATGCCATATATGCGCCGATTGCTTCATAAATTCTTGCCATTTTGATATTAATGCCATTATGGCTCTCATATAAACCCTTATCCCCAATGGTCAAAAACTGGGACAATCGATTTTCACAAACTTCTTGAGTCCAATTTTTCACTAGCCAAATCATTCGTCATAGACAGAAACAATCTGATATGAGGTCCACGCGATAAAAGCCATGCATAGGAACCTTCCAACAAATTTCTAGGAACTTTTGGTGATGTGCGTGATCTGGCCTTGCCACATTTAACCGCCTGTTGGCCAAAGTTGGGCGTTTCGGAGCGATTTTTTCTCTCAGACTATTAAGAGTTTGGCTGTTGGGGATCAGCTAATAGTGAAACCTGGTTTGGAGATCGTTTAGGCTGCTTGCCTGCCATGCGATCACGACCATTTTCATTTGACGTTGTTGTGAGTGACCCACTTTTCAACTCCAGTCTTCATTCACTTCAGAAATGATTACGTTCCGACAGTGATTCGTAGAAAGGCATTCAAAAGGAAATTTAACGAGGCTCCAAACTTTTTTTGGGCAATGTTTAGCTCTTGAGTAATCGAAATAGTGCCCTCATAACGGTCAGACGGAATATTGAGTATTTTATCTTTGCTGATGCCCATCTTTGACATGCGCTCAAAGACTACCGAGTTTAGTGATCAACAGTTCTCTCTTTTTTAGTACAAAATATCATCTTTCTAATGCCATCCCATCGCTCTTATAGAAGAGCGTGAGATACAAATCACTTATGCCATCTATTGCAAAAATAATGGACTACTTTTGACTAGACCTAAAAATTTGCTGTGATCATGAAAGGTATAAAGACTTCGGCATGATAGAAGAAAGCTTCTCTGTCTTTTTTATTTTAAGAAAAATTCTTATAATCTAACAACCTAAGCCTTAGGGAACGCAAAATTGCCTGATTGCGCTGTTGATGGCTTCATTACAGGAAATGCTTCGGCTTTGACAATATATTATATTATTTAATTAAAGGCTTGTTTTATAAACATTATTCACATTTTTAAGCCAACGAAAATGAACTAAAATAAAAAATAAAAAAATAAAAAAAAAAATAGTTGCCCTAAAGTATGCTAAGTAATTTATATTCAATTTGTATGAAGTTTATTGGTTTGCAGTAATGTTTTTATGTATATCTGTATCTAGAGCATGATTTCGCTTTACGCTGAAATTTTTCTTCCGTTCTGCTTCAGTTGCATGAAATACGAGGACGGTTTGATAAGTCAGTGGCATTTTGAATGAAATTAATTTTTTTCGGCAAATATTTCTCAACATATTCTGCTTTTAGCTCTATACATTTAGTGTAACGTTTTCCTATTTTCGTATGTACAGAGTGCGCCATCTCGGCCTTCGACATTTCTAGACCTTCGATATTTCTAGATACGGAGTTTTTAAATAAATCTGTTGAATTTCATTATCAAAATGCGTGCTCTGTTAAGAAAGTTCATCGCGCGCCTCTTTCGTGAGCGTTTCGAAGCTCATTTTTGGCATAATCGATGCGTAAATAAGCAGAATTGTCGATATTAGAGTGAAGATCAGCCAGAAGCATTGTAAGAGCTACCAATGCATCCAAAAAAAATCACAGTTTGGTGTGATTTATAGGCTGGTGGCATCATTGGACCAAAGATGATGTGAATCGTAACGCAACTGTGAATGGTGAGCGCTACCGTGACGGTGCCACATGTCACATAGCACGCGTAACCATGGACTTATTGAGAGACGAGTTCGGTGAACATTTTATTTCACCTTCAGGACCGGTCAATTGGCCGCCTAGGTCGTGCGATTTAACGCCTTTAGAGGATTTTTTGTGAGGTTATGTTAAATCTAATGTTTATACAGACATGACCGCTTCATTTGACGCATTGCAGGGCAAAATTGAAGCATTTATTCGTGAGGTACCGACCGAGATGTTGGAAGGAGTATGCCAAAATTGAACTAAGCGGATGGACCATTTGAGGCGCAGTCACGGTCAATATTTGCATGAAATAATCTTCAAACATTAAATTATTTTGACCGTACTATCGAATCAGAAAAAGATTTCATGCATTTTTCTGAATTTTATGATTATTTTTTTTGAAAAAACTTTCCTAGCTCTTAAAAATCACCCTTTATATACACGTATATTCATTTAAAATGTGATATGTGCACTCAGTTGAGCTGCCTACAGCCTCAGTCGCCTCACGCGCCATTATCTTCCGATCGTCTATTATAGTTCCACGGATTTTTGCGACGATTTCTGGTGAAACGAACTCATTTGGGCGATCTGAATGTTCGGTATCACTTGTGCTGGCATGACAACAACAGAGCACATTGCTTCTTAAGTATTTAAATTGATGGTGTAGAGTACTCATAATATTTAAAGTCTTTTGTGTTTTTTTACGCAAAAAATAATAACCAAAACACTAAATTTACTTTTCCGCATTTCCTTAAAAATCACGAAATCGATTACTCGAAATTCGACAGCAGTCTGTTAATCGATAACAGTTGGCGATAGCAATATTATATTTGCAGTAGCTCGAAAACTCACTGACTAATCAAACAGTACTCGTTTGTAAATATAATTATATAATAATATATTGCTTACATTGAATGTAATTTATGTACATGTGTGTGTGCTATTGAGCGCTCTCATTTTTTACTCATTTCATTTAATGTAAAATTATTGTATCATTCACAGGGAAATTATGTGAAATTCTTAAAGAATTTGCACACAGAACAAGTGGCTAAATTGCAATTAAAGAATCAACATGAGTGCGATCTGCTCGAGGATATACGACAATTTACCATTAAACGTTCCGCCATTGAGAAGTCATATAGCGAGTCATTGCTGAAGATTTCCTCGCAATATTTGAATAAGAAAATACCAAATATACCAGACATAAAAATGGAGGGCATGGAAGAGAGATGGTAAGTGAAAAAAAAGAAAAAGAAAATTAAATTATTCTTATCTAAACTAAAAATAGAAACTGACTTTCGAGTGCTCGAAAGTTGAATGAAATGTATGTCAACCTTTAGGCGTTAAATTTGAATGTATCCTTACGGCCTTCCTCATCCCCTGTAATAACAAAACATTTTGTATTTACATAGTTTACTAGCATGTTTTGTTTTGTCTAAAAGGTCATCAAATATTCACACAAGTACAAGTATTTGTATTGTTTTTGCTCATGCTACTTAATTGAATCCATTGACCTTGTTGTGTTCTTCTGTGTAACTGCTGCTCATGCCATGTATTTTAAATGGTCGCTTATGTAGCTTGTGAATTAAATTGGTTGCAATATTTAATAGCTGAGAGTGCCAATAGTTAATAGTATAAAGGCACCAGGGAAGAAAGTTTTTTATAAATTTTTTATTTTGCTACAAGTGAACTATTTTTAGTATTTGAAATTTACAAAATCCTAATCGATTTCCTGCTGGGTGGCTTTTGTGCTAGTTGTTTAAAACTAGGCGCTTACATCTGTGAATAGTTGAGTAAATATCCTTCACCTAAGTTGGTCAAAAGGGTGAAGGTTTTGTTTGCTTGCCTTAACTACTTAATGTGAAGGTCTAAAAAACAAAAAAAAAAAAAAACAACACAACAGAGACAGACTTTTTGAAATAAAAAATAGTCGAACATTTCATATATTAATAAAATAGTAATATAATAGTTTAATAATTAATATGTCATAATTTAATATAATGTAGTCTCATCTCTAACAATTAAAAATATATTCAAATCTACTAATCTTTGGTTTTTGTTTATTCAGTTTTTTCTCCAATTTTGAATGCTTTGAATAACAGTTAGTTTTTTTTGACTTTTTGACATTTTGTCTTCATGAAATTTCTTGTCTCACTACTCACTTTTTTTTTTTTTGTCAATAATCTTGCTTCAGAAATCATTTTAGTGATTAATCACTAGTAAATTTTGTTTCAATTAGAAATTTAATTGCTAAATATTGTTAATTGAGTGGCTGTGTGACCATAATCTTGAAACCGAATTTCCGTGAAATGCACTTTTTTCTGACATAATTACATGCAAGTAAGCCTTATAATGAAGGTATTGAATGGAATATTTACCGGTTGTTACGCGCTATTAAGACCTGTTAGTCGGCTGTTGTGCCAAATGGAGATTCCATTTAATTCGAGGTAATTTAGTTGTCGAGAGTGTAATGTGGTGTGGTCTTGCTTCTGGTAATACAGTTACAGTTGCAAGGCTACACCCAATTCCTGGAAATGTGAGCAGCCATTGTGTGCCATGTGGTAACCAACCCTTGTGAGGAAGCTTTAAGGATTTACTGGAGTATTTTTACAGTGTCTGCGACTTCGGGCTGGTGTCGGTCTGAGTATAATCGGCTCGCTAAATAATGCTATTCACATATAAAATTCTTGCTTGGGACTTGCCACGTAGAAAGTAGCTCTAATCAAAACCAAAGACAAACAAAAGCTGAATTCTACAAGCCTTTCAGCATTTTCGTCTTGTGCGAGTGTGCGAGAAAAAGTTTTTCGTTCCGCAGACGATGGAATGATAAGCTGCTCCTACTATATGGTGTGAAAGTGTGGAAGCTGACAACATCTGAAAAGCCTAGCTAGAAGTTTTCAGGAGCAAAAGTTTGTAGATTGGTTCCTTGTGTATTGGTAAAAGCGAATACCGCAGCCGATAAAACGATTAGCTGCACGAGGTATTCGTATCAGGAGATATCGGCTATGCTGGATAGGTCTTGCCTATGTTGAATCAGCTAGTTGAAGTGGAGGAAAAAGAAAACCTCTCCTGCTTTGAAAAAATAGGTATATAACCATCCGGCAGTCGAGATAGCGTAAAAAAGCGCGTGCCTTCATTCCCAACCAATGCCTCCTAGCTCTCCTGGATACAGAGTCTTCATATCCCCAGACGACTGTTACTTTTGGCAATCTTATCAACTATTTCGTTCCCTAAAATGTGTCATAGAACATCTCTTATCCACTGCTTCCCTGTTTCCAGCGGTGTTAACTAGCTCAATGAACTACCTTACCTCGAGGGTATTCACCGGGAAGATATTTAAATACTTCGGAAGCTTGAACGATTAACTGATATCTAGCTTAGCGCATTAGACTCCAGCGTTCTCCCTATCAGTCATTTCTGAAACATCCGCATAGTTAATGCAAATTCCGTGAAAGCTAGGTTGAGCAACCTTTTGAGTGTGGTCGTTAGTTCTTAGCGCTGTTAAGCTCGTCAGAAATATCGAAGTTATTAATAAAACTGGAATTTATCATTGAATCCATAAAACTGTCAAAATATCTTTAATCCATTAACTCAAACTCGAAAACGTAATGAGAGCTTTAATATCTTCCTGACTAAAAAAAAATATTTTTTATATGCAACCGCCCCTCGGTAAATCCATTAGCTGTTCGCAGGAACCTTCATATAAAAACCAAAAAAAAAAAAAAAAAAATCTACGATAGTATTTAAATAAATTCTAAAGTATTAATTTTCTTTCAACAGGAATATGTGGAGCGTTTGGCGTACTGTACTAGAAGAGAACGAGAAGCTCGCTCGTGCACGTTTAGCTGCCATCGAGGTGTTCCAACAACAAATTGCCGACGAAGCTAAGGTGCTGCGTGACTACAAGTTAGCCATTTCCAAGAAATCGCTCTCACAAATAGTGAACGTACAGAAAGAATTACATCTCAGCGTCTCCGATGTGGATAAGACGAAGAAACAGTATTTTGATGAGGAGCACTGTGCTCACGATGTACGCGATAAGGCACGTGACATTGAGGAGAAGTTAAAGAAAAAGAAAGGTTCATTCTTTCAATCGATCACATCGCTGCAAAAGAACAGCGCACGCGTTACATCGCGCAAGGAGTTGCTGGAAGAGAAATCGACTGGCGCACGCAATGACTACATACTGAGCTTGGCGGCAGCAAATGCACATCAGAATCGATACTTCACCGTCGATCTACAAACAACGATGACCACTATGGAAAATTATGTATTCGAACGCGTCGCCGAGTACCTGACACTGATGGGCCGCACCGAATTGCTCACCTGTTCGGCCACACAGAATTCATTCGGCAAAATACGTGATCAGGCGCAACAATTGACACGCGAATATAATTTGCAGTGTTGCTACTTATTCTATCCAGTGCTAAAGCAACATATACAATATGACTTCGAGCCGTGCGATAATGATCCGATACGAAAGATCACCACCGAGCATGAGTCGGCGTCAGAGACGCTCACAAAAGAAGCAAAGAATCTGGCGGGACGTGTGGTGAAAGAAAATGTTGCTATTCGTGATGCTGCTAAGAAATTGGCAATCTGTGTATCACTGCGCGATTCCGGACAACGCTCCGATCCCAATGATCCAAATGGACCCGATTTGGATACAAAAATTGAGGAGTTCAGGGACTTAATACGTCGCTCCGAAACGGAAAAAGCTAAGGCTGAGGCGTGTTTACAGAGTTTGCGCGAAGGTGGCATTAACGTTGATGAATGGGTGCAGGAGGCGGAGATAATGGGCGTACAGGAATTGGCACGATCGGCTAGTTCGATCTCTATGCGTACAGATGCGTCGGGACAAGGGGTGAGTGTGAATAATTATAGGTGTGAATATGTTCAGCTTTATACATTTGTAAATATTATAGGAAAATCCCAGCTCAGATTCCTTCTATGACAGCGACAAAGAGGATGCTGCAGGTGCACAAGCTGGCGCAGCTGCCAAATCTAAAGTGGAGAAGGAATTGTCACGCGATAAGACATTCAGTGACAGCGATGAAGGTAATATGTGGATTTTTCTAAAAAGTGTGTAGTGATATTTACCAGCTGCTCCTATATTCTGGATACTCGTGCAGAAGTGGAGGAGCGTGTACCAGAGCCGATGGCTGCAGCACCGATAATGGCCGCTACAACTGGTTGGGATGATCCGACAGAGGTTAACTGGGGTGCTGAAGAAGAAGAAGAGAAGGATGAACCCATTGTTCCTGAACCAAAGGAGGCTATCTTCAAATGCACAGCTCTCTATAGCTATACTGTAAGTATATTATTTAACATATTACGAACACATAACCTCAATATATCGCCACCTAATTGGTTTTGTACAGGCTCAAAATCCAGATGAACTTACCATTGTCGAAAACGAACAGCTGGAGGTGATTGGGGAGGGTGATGGCGATGGCTGGTTGCGTGCACGCAACTATCGCGGCGAGGAGGGCTATGTGCCGCACAATTATCTGGACATCGAACAGGATACTGCCGTTAACGGTAGCTCAGGCAATCAATTGCGTTCACAAATCTCATTCTCATCTGTCGATTATACCGTTGACAATGAAGATCAAACCGTGGACTCCATGCAATCCCCAGATCAGGTCTCTGTCATAATGGCGCCGCAGAAAAAGAAATCCGATGTACTCTATTGTATAGCGCTATACGACTACGATGCAACCGCCGAAGATGAGCTGACATTCGAGGAGGGTCAAATAATTAAGATTGTCACAAAGACGGCGCATGGCGTGGATGATGGCTGGTGGGAGGGTGAATTGGATGGTAAATTTGGTAATTTCCCATCATTGGTAGTCGAGGAATGTGATGAGAATGGCGAACCGTTGACGGAGGGTGGCGATGAGTCACCACCACCGACGGCACCGCCCAGTTTTGCGCTTCCACCCGCACCGGCACTACCGCCCGAGTATGCACACGAGCTGACGGAGGATATGTTTGAATCGCAGGACACAGCAGGTGTGTTGATTTTGAATTTAGCTGCATATAAATACTTATTAACGAATAACGGTTCAATCTTTGACACAGATGACGATAGCGGCTATATACCGAACGGTGGTGCACCCAGCATGCCTCCACCAGGTAATTTAGTATATCCTTCAAGCAGTTATAATGAAATTTTCACAACTCCTTTAGTACTTCTACAAAAATTTGAACTTCATTTTATTAAATTATACATTACAATATGAATACTCCTGCTTCTATAATATCTTTAGAGGTAAAAGTCCACGATACCCATCTTACATACTAACAATGTGCTAAAAATCTCCTATTTCCAATTTTGCTAAAACGAAATGTGAAATGTGTATTTCTTTTCATCAAAAACAGTGTTAATATTGAAATTGTTTTTATTTTTTTTTTGTATTTCTCAAAACCATCCAGATGTACCTACATAAATATGTATATTTGATATAAATTGGTTTTGTATGTATGATTGTGTTTGTGTGCGTGTATGTGTGTATGTGAGTTTGTGTTGTAAATAAGCTTCAAAATTCATATATTTTTAAACATTGCACTGCAAAACACTCTAAAAAATATAAATATGTATGTATACATGTCACTTATTATATTATATATGTTTATGTGTAACTGCATAATTTATCACTTCAAACAGCAGAGCTCACAGATTTACTTCAGCATAATGTTATTATCATTATTTAAATTTAAATAAATATTTATATATATAATGTCGTTTTTATGTACAGTTGTATGTATATTATGTATTTTCTTGTACACGCTTTAATACGCTTTTGTTGTTTCCGATAAGTGCCAAGTAATAAAGCCAGCGTGAAGAAGGGTAAATGCTCTTAGTATTTTTTGCGGTTTCTTTTTTGCAACAACAATTCGTACATAGATATATATATATATATGTATATAGTTATAATACATTCCTCTTCCATAGGTTGTCTTTAGATAGTCTTTAATTTTAAAAATATGTGTATTTAGCTGTTCGGTTTCTAAATTAATATCTGAAGCTTCATAATCTTTAACTGAATTTTTGAAGTCAATTTAAAAATTATAACTCATACTCTTAGTGAGTAGTTTATTGAATTTCTCTTTTGTTACTCTCTTTTGCCAAAACTATATAATACAATTATAAATATTTTAGAATTTCACAAAAATCATATAAATCTCTTGTAAGGTTCAGTAATATTTTTTTTAAATTAATGCAGCTCGTAAAATATGATTAAAAAATATAAAAAACAACATGCTGGAGATTCAAGCAAAGGTTTGAGTCGAGTCCAGTTGAGTTAATGCGGCTGCTGATCATGCGACCAGCGCACTCATGCCCATTGTGATGCCTCTCAAAAGCGCTTATCATTTCGTTGCAATATTGTCTATGCCAGCTAAAGAAGCAATCGAAAAGTGTTTTTCGAAAAACTTATATCGTGTGGTATCCACTATAGAACAGTATTAGAGATAGTATTTAACAGACTCTTCTACTTTTTCGTCTCAGCATCATTAATTGCTGGTTTAGAGGATATACAAAATGGTTTTAGACTATACATACATATATCTTTCCAATCAACTTTTTCCAGTGTTTCGTCTGCAGTTGAGTTTGGCATATAAGATTATATCGAGGTGTTTCTTTGTGGTATGGAGAGTGGTTTTCATGCCTCTCAGTAGGGCTAGTTAAAAAGGAAGTGGTTAGCATATCTCTTTGTAAAAAGGAACATTTCTAATTTTTGTGGGTTGACATACAGCGCCTTTGGAGTAGATTGCTTAGATTTTAGGAGGTATAGCTTGTACTACAAACGTATTTTTGGTTTTCTAGAGCAGATGGCTTCTTTAATATGAGCGAAAAGTTTTAATGCTACCGACTAATATTTCAACGTGCCACAACGTCTAGGGTTAACTTAAAACCTGGATTACAACTTAAACGTTTTTCAGTAACTATAACCTTAAAATGTGCTGGTCCATGACGCATTTTAGTTAAATTTTTTGATGATATGGCTAAACGGCAAACTTTTATTTCCTGGATATGGACCAGAGATCTGGAACCAAGATAGAGAGCATGCAAAAAAAGCTTTCTTTACGGGAAAAAAATTACCTACAGATTGATAAAAATTAGTGTGATTTGCATATAAGCACACATCGTGCGTAGATATGCCCGGGATGGAGGCAATTATCATACGTTTAACTTGAGTTCAACCGAAAGGTGTGTTTTGCTTACGTCGAGGCATTTTGATTAATATTTTCGTGAGAGGCTTTGAGCAGCGAAGATATGAGATATTGAAACAAATTTAAGGTTTTGACTTAATTGACGCTTATTTAAAGTTCTTTTGATCGTTCTTCGCAATCATGCTGCCACTCTAATTAATGTGCTAAATAAACTTATTCATATATATATATATAGATATAAATACAATATATTAAGGCTAGAAAATTTTCGGAATTTAATTTTTCAATTATTAGTCCACCGTAAACGGCCAAAGTTGTGGGCCAACGATGCTCCATGCGACTTTCTTTTTCTCCAAAACTCAAGTTACCACTCAGTGGACTCGATTGGGACCGTAAAAGAAAATTTGCAGAAGGAATTGATTTCAATTGCTGCAAACAAACTGGTTGACAAATCGCGCTAATTTTTGACACAGTTATTAAGATCAGTGCTAACAACATAACAAAAAAGGTAGCGGCTTTCAGCAGAGCTTCTCTCCAATTTTTTTTGCAACTAATAGAGGGACCTACTATTTATATTGCCTCCGTGCGTCCGATGGATTTTTATGAGAAGCATTTATTTCGAACGGCAATAGGCAATACTAACCCCTCGGCTATTGCAGCCGTCATTAACATACACGTAAATAGTTAAAATTCAGCTTTAGTTTTGGTTAGAGGCGTAGGAAAAACTGTTATTTGTCCCTTTATAGAAAATTTCGTTATATTATTTCTTAAGTATTTTTCGCACGTTTCATTACTAAGTGTTTTCGTTTTCAATATTTAGCACTTAGAATTTTCTTCCACATATTATATATATGTATGTGTGTACCTTGTGTAAAACACTTGTTTACTTTTAATAATAAATTATTTATATATAAAATAGAAAATATGTATGTATATAGAAATTAAAAAAAAATTAAAATAAAAAATTTAATAAAAAAAATTCTTAACGCAATTTTTTTTGTATTTATTAAGTTTAATATTCGATACAAAAGTGTATTTGGATATTTGTATGTACGTAAATATGTATACTCGTGCAAATATGAATTGGTGTTGCAAAAGTAGTAGTTAGAAATTATGCAATGCTACCGTTAGTTTTCCTCCTTTCTACTTTGCTAAATAAGCATATTAATAATTATAATAATCCAAAAAAAAAAAAAATATAATTTCTAATTAAAAATTGTATTTAACTGCCTTGTTACGTATTAAACTCGAAACTTTTTTCTTATTTAATGCCTTCAGTACTCATACAAGAGCCTGGAATGGAGGTAACTCGAAAGCTATTATTTTTTTCTAATTAAATAGATTTAATTGAGTGGAAAATATCATAATTTTTTTTTAAATATTTTTTAACTAATTATAATTTTTTTTTGTTATTTTTTTCTTTCAGGACGATATCAGCGACGATGGTAATCCACCACCATCGCTGCCGCCGCCGGCTTTAAATGTCGGACCCAGCAAGGAAGGTAATTCACTAAATTTAGGTATGGCACAAATAATTGTTACCGCCGCAACCCCAATGGTTGAAGACGGCACAGATAAATCTTTCCCTCCGATAGGAGAGAGTGATGAAGGTAGTACAGCTGCAGCTACAGCGAAAACTGCCAGTAGCGATGACGATGTCAAGCCGGTTAAGCAGAAAAAGGCGGAACCAACGAAACAGTTGGCATCAGCAGCAGCTGATGAAAATGAAAATCATGAAGGTAAGAAAATGGAGATTAATTAGATTACTAGTATAGACTTTGCCGGTGCTTCGTCGTGGTGATTAGTGCAGAGCACACTTAGAGGCTTATTGACAGATATCCCGAGCATTGAAGTTGATGAATGCACTTTAGCAGACCTTCATATACCTTAGACCTTAGTATAGCCCAGCTGGTAATCTATCGAATGCTGGAGAAAATTTCTCTTCAGCATTCAATATCTTAAAAAACCCACTTATGTGGGTGTGGAATCTAATTTCTCTTGTTGGGTCTTCAGATGTTCGCGCTTACCCATTTCGACAATTTCCTATGCAAATGTATTTTTCTCTCTTCAACTTGCGATATCTCTCTTAAACTTAATTCAAAGTGGCGACATTGTGTTCGTGTCATCAGTGCTATATTTTTCTACAGTCAGTGAGATTATGGATATAAATATTGAAAATTTAAATATAGAGAAATCTCTGCAAGCGTTATCTGGGCTATGAAGTTTTGCCTGATGAATGCGTTTAATGTCATTTGGAACCCACCTTTCCAAAACAGTTTTGAATCCACCGATATCCTGAACCAAGCTACTACAACTTCAAATAAATTACATGATATCCTCCCAAGACTAGATTTCAATAGTTGCTTACAGACGAGAAAGCGTGGAGTAAGAGTTTAGTAGGAGAAAAGGGTTCAATATCCACCATATATACCGGGTGGTTAAAAATAAATTACAAAAAAGGGACGGGGTTATACTCCAAGGATCTTCACATCTCAACCTCTCTATTTATCGCTTTTTCTCGCTCTCCATCACTATCCGTCTTCCAAATTTAGCAGGCATCTTCTAAGCAGAAGTATTGTAGTAGGCATAGAGAATAGCTATGAAGCTTCATCGAATAACTACGAGAAGATACACAGTAGGAAAAAAGTCTTTAAGCTCACTGGCGGATCATTTCTACTTATCTGTAACGTTGGTTCTCAGTCAAAGGTACATTTTCAGCCACGATACCATACCCGCTAGGAAGGATCAAAAGAGAGTGCTTTGTACGCAATTTAAACAAATAGTTAAAGACATATAGTAAGCTATAACCCAGCAGACATAAGTCTGTCTAAGGTGTATACTAGAACTCAAAATTTTGCTTAAGCATCCGAGCAACGAGTACTCGCACACTACTTTTTTGCGTATTGCTAATTTTTTGAGCACAAGCTGGAGCAGTTCGAGCTTCTTCGAGCTCTGTGAGCAAAACTAAAAGTAAAAAACTCATTGAAATGCTAAAAAATGTTGAAATATTAAGTGTAGTAAAAACAATCCATTATTTTTCCAATAAATGGCGGGCTCCACTAGATGGCGTTAGAAATATGACGTGAAAATGTCGAGTCGGGCCCGACCATCAAGTCAGGTAAGCACTGCTTCGATATCTCAAGAGAAGAAAAGAATTAAAGCATTCCGTCCCCTGGGTGTCGGCATTATCAGTTTTGCTTTTTTCAAGGAACTCGAGAAGTTGAACATTGACATATTCCCAACACCCTCCGTAGTACTTTTGTTGAGGTAGTCAACAATTTGAGAGTTTTCATCACTAATGTTATTGAATTTTGAACACTGTTTTCTCATACATACAACATTTACCGAATTGAAATTATTTCTAAAATATATGTATATGCATATATTGCATATGGTTGCAGACGACACACACTCATCCGATCAGGATCCCGATTCTGAGGTGAAGACTTTACAAGAGGCCGATGATCCATTCAATGAAAAGGGCAGTGCTGCTGATGCTGACGATGGATTTGGGGCGAATTTCGAAGCCAATTTCGATGCTAACTTCGATGATGCTTTTGCTGGTGGTGCACAATCGGCCGATGTGAATGCCGAGCTGAGCGTCGATGATGTGCAGACACCCAAACAAGTGGTAGGCGGACGTGCAAGTATACCCGAGGAATTGGATTCAAATCAATTGGCACGATTACAAAATCTGAAAGAGTCAAATGCTTAAGGAAACGTACAAAAACTATAGAAATTGAATATGCAACATAAACTGCATTTACTCGCAGACATTACGAGAGATTTTGCACTAAGGAAAATATAAATATGGGAGTATACATACATGCTTGTATCGTGTGAGGTACTTAATGTATGTGAGTGTGGTCACAGATGGACGAAATCGCTGATTTCTTACGTGAAACTCTCTAGCAAAAGTGTCTGTGCTCTTTTGTATGCAAGAAAAACAACAAGAATTAAGGAAAAAGTGAAGTAAGATTCTAAGAAGAAAGTATTAAGAGAGTAAATATAAATATATATATACGCTGAAATATTGTAATTGTGTCAACTCTGCACCTTGATATATGGAAACATATAACCTATATACATACTACACAACAACAACAAAACCAAAACTAAACAATGATACTCATAAAAGACCCGCTTTCATAAAACTCCATTTGAATTGAACTATTATTAGGGAAAAATGTTACACTTGAATATATGTAAGTATTAGTATACAAACACACACACATAATTATATGGATAAATTGAAAAATTCAAAAATACTCATACCACAACTGTATTATTGCATATACTATATTATACTACTTATTAGAGGAGATAGTAAATCATTTAACTACAGTGACTTGCGAAAATGTTCAAGTGTTGACTAAAAAATAAAAAAAATAAAAATAAAAAATAAAATACCTACTTACTTTCCTGCCTTTAATTGTTAGTCTAAAATATTATTTGAAAATTTTCGAAAGAAAGAATATAAGAAATTTGCCTTAGTCTCTATTAAAAGTACCATTATTTTGCGCAACACTGTAGTTTTTAGTGATTTCACGAATGTGCTTCAACAAATGTGCTTAATATATATACATACATACATGTAATAGATATACACGTATATACTCTCAGATATGCAATACAATACATACATACATACATACATGTACACCTATAAATAATGAATATATATGTATGTAATTACCAAGAACTTCAAAAAGAGATACTGATTACGAATGCAATAACGGAAAATTAAAGCATTATTATAGCTAATAGAAAACGAAAAAAACATTAATAGCAAAAGAAAAATTAATCACAACAAAAAAAAAAAAGCTGCAGTCAATTGTTAATTTAAAATTTAATAGCCAAGTACCTTCAGTGAAAAATTCATTTGCCAATAGTTATAAATTCATATATATGAATATTTAATAATAAACATTATAGGAACTGGTTTACTATAAAATATCTAGCTGAACTTAGTTTTCCTTATTATGCTAGAAAAAATATAGAAGTAAATTTTTTAGTGAATTTTATCTATGTAGTTACATATGTATATATGTGTACATATATGCTTTGGCTAAAAGATAATTTATTTAGTTTAATTAAGATATCTATAACTAGTAGATGGTACGTGTTTTGTTTAGCCCTGCAGCGCTGCCTAAACTTCTGCACAGTCAAAAAAAAAAAATATTATGATTTATTGTTTAAACATACGTAAATAATATTAATTTTCAAGAAATTCCCCGCGAGGGAGAGAAAATAATTTGTTTTCCCTACAATTCTCATCTTTGTAGAGGGAAGTGTTTCCTATAATTTGCTCAGCAATAATTATTGGAAAACATATTTTTCTTTTTACCTTCTCAATTTTTTTTAATGTTCTTTTGACTTTAGTAAAAAAGTATTTTTTTTTAATAAATACAAGCCTTTCGAAAATAATTTTTTTTTGACTTAAGAAAAAAAATATTTTTAAATTTGAATCCATTTTTATATTTTCTTTTGTTTTTGGTAGAGAAATAATAGAAAACCAGGAAAAAAAAATTTTATACTATGTTCCAACAAATATTATAATTAATGCCAATTTTAGTGCTGTACACATACATGACTATAAAGCAAACTCTTCGACAACAACACACGTGCCAGTTGTGAAAAAAATTTCATTCATCCATAATAAATTCATTAATACACAAAATAAATACATACATACGAGTATACATATACAGGGCATTACAACGGAAAAAAATATTCATATAAATAATAATTACAAACATAAAAGTCTTACATAATGGATCATATGATAAAGTTACACGCATACATACATGAATAAAAATACTCTAAATATAGTTTAATTTATTAAAAGTATTAATGTTAGCAAAACTGTATAATATTTTAGAGAAAGCAAAAAGATAAAAAATTGTTTATTAATTCCGCAAAAATGTGTTGTGTTTTCTATTGTATTTAATTAAATACTTATTGATATTATTATATGTTAATATAAAATTTAAATGGTAACGATTTCTATAATAGCCTGAAATGTAAAGGTGACAACTGAGAAAAAGGAAAAACAAATTAAATTCAATAAATGCATACATTCATTCCAGAGAAAAATGCGGTTTTTTTCAATTATTTATTACTATTTCCATTTCAACCAGCTAAAAACGCATCGAGTCAGCTTATACAACCTACCTTAGGAGAGCATCATGCAAACGAAATGCTTATGACTGAGGTAAGAGAGGAATTAATAGCGATTTGTACTCTTCAGTAAGACCAGCTCAATTGATGGCTCATTAATTGTTTATTATTATTGTTTTTATAAATAGCAAATTGAGAAAAAATTAAAACTAAAATCATAGTAAAAAAAAAACAAAAAAAAAAGGTGTTCGTCTTGCTGAATTAATTACACCTTTCATAACCCTAACAGCTTTATGGTATTTCATTTTAAGATGAAATATTAATTCTCAAATTGCACGCTTTTAGCGGTTTTTTTTGCGTATTTTTTTACGCAAAACCTCACATATATGATATAGTCCAGTGAGCTTTTCGGCGTCAAAGTTTATTTGTAGATACGAATGTGGAAAACCAATTTTTATATGCTTTTTTTCAGAGTCTCGACGAAAGGGTCATCTCTGAAAAATCGGAGTATAGGATGGCAGCTAATATAATGCGAAATTCATCATTTGTGTGCAGCATACAAAATCTCACACTCTTAGATCCTTTTTTGACCAATTCCTGAACTAAAATCTTAAGTGAGAAAAAAAGCCAGATTTATGTATAGTACTCTGATCTGGCCTGGATTGGTTACATACAAACAGACAGACATGGCTAAATCAACACAGCTTGCCTTACAAATCAGACAAGAACAGCTCAGTATAAATTTTGTTGGGTCTATTTGATCTCCTTGTGATACTTTTGCCCCAAGTTAACATAATATATTATATATAATAATAATAAAAAAAGTTCCTTCACTGCTGCAGTGATTCTTCTCCTTCTCCGTGGATGAAATCTAAAAAAAAAAAATTCTCTACTAGATAATATTGTCTGTACAATGACCTACGATAAAAACAAAAATCAAAAATTGACAATATGGCGGCGTTTAAAAAAAAATAGTCGAATTTTACCCAAAATTTTGGTCGTTTTTGGGCTGCCAAAATTCGATCAAAATCGATAGGTCATTGTACGGAGAACTATATATTGAGCATGTAGAAAAAATCAATGCAGTCGATGGAGATCAGATAGTTTGTTTTTGAGTAATCACTGCAGCAAATTCGGAAAATGTTGTTTTGAGAAAAACGCGTTTAAAGATAAAATGATCGTTTTCACTCGTAGCTAATGAGACTCTCTAGCTGCCGAGTGGCTGCTCTTTAAATTGCTATAACTCAAAAACTATTTGAGATATCGATTCGAAATTTTAATGTATTATTTTTAAAGGTAGAATCTACTGAATCTTTTGATTTTTTTTTTGAAATTTCACACTAGGTGTGCCCCTTAAGTTTGTGCAATTTTAACAATATATAATTTCGTTTCGATAAAATTTCGCTGAAACGAAACAAAATCATTTTGGTTAGTTTATTTTTGATATTAACAAGACGAACGTTTCGTTAGTTGAGTACCTCCTTTACTTTTCCTTGTTTAATTCTAATTTATGATACATACGGTCGATGTAATTCAAATAAACCAAGCAAATTTGTCTAGAATGGCTTGGCAGCTAAGGAATACTTACGTTTAGAGGGCTTCAAGGAAACAGCCTGTGTACTAAAAAGACAATTTAAATTTTTGAAGTTTTATTTCATTTCATACTCATGTCATTTCACTTATGAAATAATTACGTGTTTTTTTTGTTTGTTTTTAATTCTGACATAAAGTTTTCTGCTGTTCTCATTAGAAATATGACTATTACGGTTTTTAATTATAATAATTTTTGTTTTTTTTTTCTTGCAGTGTGTCTGAAGTGTTTCAGTTATCAATTAGTTTATGTTCAATAAATTAATTTTTTTTTAGTTTTTTTACGCACGTTTTTTTTCTCCTTAAGTATTTCACAAATTTGCATAAGTTCATATATATGTATTTCCCGTTATCAACTTATATTTGTATGTATGTATGTATGTAGTTAGTTAACTGCATTCGTCAATGCGCAATCGACAAATGAACAGTTCATAATTCATATAATTTTCCCGTAATTCTCTAGTGAAGTTATTTGAATTTTCTTTTTATTCTCAATATTTCTTTTTTGTTTTTAAGACTTTTTCCAACATACATATATAACTATGTATACGTTTATTTGCATTTGCCAAAGTAATGGTAGGCGTTAAATATTGATTGGTGCATTTAATTTTAGTTATTAGGTTTATTATTATTTGTTGTTGTTTATATTAACTTGCTAATTTGTATTAAGTTTGTTATGAAATTAACACAGTCGAAAATTGTGATCCTTGATCAAACAGTAGCTTACAAGTACATTTTTTGTTTTAAAAAATTTATTTATTTATGCGTGTGTGTGTCTACTACTTATTTCATTTCAATTTTGTGTAATTTGTTTTTTTTTTTTCAATGTATTTGTTTATTTTGGGCGCTAAAAAAGTAAACGACTATATGGAGGTAAAGGAAAATATTTGCTATTAAGAAATTAGAAAAAAAACAAAGTTTTAAAAAAGAGTTAATTTTCGAAAATCGTTGGAACTAACGCTAACTATAATTTATAATGATTAACGTGTCTTTTAAGCATGTTCTTAAACATTGAACCGATTCAATGTGATTTGGTGGAATTTTGGTCAGAATTTTCCTTTATTATATTTATAATGAACTTCGTCCAAAAAGAAGTAGTGAAGAAATGATTTCGAGTTTTATGTAAGAATTCTAAATTTAACCACACCAATAGTTTTTTATTCTCATTTGCTAAATATCTCGAATATTATTAAAAATACAGTGAAAAACATAAGTGTGATTCACAATCACTGGACCGATTTGGTTCAACTTTTTCTTTGAGTTCTTCTACAGGGTGTTACAAAATTTACCAAAGAATAAAATTTGTCATCATTTATGTAGTGAAGTGTTGGCAAACCTAAAAAAATAATCAAATCGACCGCTGATAATTTAGGCTTAGTAAAAATGAATCTGCGCGAAAGGACAACGTGTCTTCATTATTGATCAATATAAATTTTAAGTTTGTAAATAAAAAAATATAATAAACCGAGTTTATTTTTAATAAAACACAATTTTTTTATAATTCTACCCTAGCTATAACGAAATACAGAGCTTATTCGATGGCTGTATTTTTTAGACAAAACAACAAAAATCATAAGCAACACCTCTAAGGAAACCATAGAAATAATAAAAAATAATAATAATAATAAGAAAAAAAAAATAAAAATTACTAGGCACTAATTGCAAAAAGTTGTACTGAAAATATTTATATTGTTTTTGGTAAAAAAAATTATTTAAATTGTTTTTTTTAACAACTAATTTTATTTTTTTTGAGATACAAATTTTTTCAATCGTTTTTTTTTTGCAATTAGTTTAAAAAATGTAATTAAATTATAAATATTTTTTGGAAATAAAAGGTATTTTTCTTTTTTTTTACACATAATTTAAAAAGTTGCTATTAAAATTTTTATATAATTTTTGAAATAAAATTTTTTTTTAATAGTGTTTAAATAAATATTAAAAAAAATGTTATTTTACTTATTTTTTAATAACTAATTTTATGAAGTTGCTATTAATATTTTTATATTTTTTTTTGAAATAAAAATAATTTGAACTGTTTTTGAAAAGTATTTGGATTATTTTTGTTGTTTTTAATAATTAATACACCTATCGAATGTGTTCTGTATTTTCTTAAAGCGGAGA